TATTGTTGTTGGTATTGTTGTTGGTATTGTTGTTGTTATTGTTGTTGTTATTGTTTTCGTTGTTATTATTGCTGTTGTTATTGTTGTTGTTGTTGTTGTTGCTGTAGCATTAGTAGCAGTGGTAATAATAGAAAAGTGCGATAATGAATTTTATTGATTTTTTTATCTTTCCCAAAAAAAAAAAAACGATACAGTATAATATAATTCGATCAAATTTATTCTCATTCAGTTCTTCTCCCTATCAACTGTTATTATCAGTATTTAATTTTTAAAAAAATTATGAGAAAAATGAAGTTAAAATTAGTCAATTAATCAACTGTCTCTCTTTTTTTGCCAGCTTTATTTGAAATAGCAAAAGTAATTTGTATTAAAAAAATGTGCAATGTGTATTATTGATTGAAGTTTAACCTAGGAATTTATCGATTGCAGATAAAATGCATTGAGATATTCTGGAAATGATATTTAAGAATTTTAAGAATCACTGAGACATTTAAGAATTTTAACAGAATTGGAAATGGGAATTTTTTGCGAAGGAAAGTTCAAATAATTGCAATACAAAATAAATTACAACTTTGTTATCCTAAGAGGATACAGTGTAGTGACAAGTTTGCAACTATTTTAACTTTCCCGATATTCTAGCTATTTTCTTTGATTATTCCGACATAAGTTTTGTGACAAAATTCTCCTCCCATTTTATGCTGCAATGAAAAGAAGGAGGTTAAAACTAACGTTAACATTACCTTTAATTTATCAATATCAATCTTTTTTTTGCAAATAATCAATCATGCAACCAATGGGTCATTTTGACCAGATTTGAAAGATGAATAATTTGCATGATTAAATTTAATTGTTTCATAATTTTTTTAAAATTCATACACCAATGTTTTGGATAATGTATACATCGTAATTTGTTATAAAACGCCTCATAATACTTTAGCGATGTCTATATTATTTATTAAATGTTGCATTTCTTTTGAAAATTAAGCAGAAATTTATAGGAATATAAAAATTAAAATAAAGTTAATTTCGAGAAATTTTATGAATATAAATTTACTATTTAAGTAAGCTTTAAATCGATTAACACATTAAGTGAATATAATATAACACTTTCAAGGTACTGTAATTGAGGCTTTTTAAAAGCACAAAATCATAAAAATGTTCATTAAAATAAAATGCTTCAAAGCGATTAGTCAGATAGTTTATACATTAAGCAGAATGGGATTGTTAATTTTGGATTATAAATGAAACAAATTTACAGCAATTCATCTTAGATATGATAACTATTTTGATGATATCATTTTTTGCAAAAGTTTTTGTTTTTGTTTTTTTTCCAGACAAATATAATTTAAACATTAAAATTAATTATAAAAAATTAAGTCTTCCCTCCTAGATTTACAAATTTAAATTAGAAAATTTCATAATGAATTGTAATTAATCCTCTTTAGTCCAAACAATCAAAATCTCATTTCAACTATTTAATATAATTTTGTAATTTAAATCATTCCTAATATTATTGTTTTTTGAAGTAATTGCAAACTTACTGATAATTAAATGTATTAATTGATCTTTCTTTTTTCATACTTTGTTATTCCTTTATTTGTTTATTCAGTTATTTTTTTTAAATTTTGATAAATTTGAAAAAAAAAATTGAAAAAGAAACAAATCTTTAATTCACGATAAAATATATAAATAAACAAATAAAATTCACGATAGTAATAATGATATATTTTTTTCAACCACAAAAAATTTGCAAAAATTATTGAAAATGGAAAGAAATGGATTTTGTGGGATAATTAATCATTCCCACAAAATGTAATATAATTCAATTTCGATTTTTTTCATTTCTCTTGTTCTTATTCAGTTGTCACCTATACCTTCATTTTATTAATTAATCTGTAATAATCCATAAAAAAGGAAGTTTTTTCCGAATGATATCAGTAAAGAAAAATATTTGATAATAAAAGCGAGAAATAATAAATGACATTTGCAAACATTAATAAATATTTCAAAACAAAAAAAAAGCGAATGCATTTAAACAACACTTAGAATCAATCAGTGCTGCAAAATTTAAACCAATTGTTTGAAATTTGATTAAATCAAAAATGAAATTTGGCTGAGCATCACAATGTGATGATAACAATTTTTCTGGAAACATCGATAGCAAAATAAGCAATATAAATATTTACATATTTATCATCAAATATTATTTTCTTTACAATTAGCCAACATTTAGCTATGTGTCATCAATTTTTGATGTTAAAGTAATTTTTTTATGTTTAATTAATTAACTTTTAATTTTTTTGTATCAATTATTCACTGAAATAATTTATATCATAATTTTTCACTAATCTTCTGCAAGATAGTGCATGAATCTATCATATGCTTGCATATTAAACGATGCTGTTATTAGCCTATTACATTTTAAAATTTACATTTTATGTTTAAATTTATCATCCACTTAAATCAAATAAATCTATCAATACTTTTAATTTAATTACATTAATGATTCTGGCATTAATCTATTATACTTACTATCTTGTAGTTGATAATTAAAACAATTAAACAATAACCTCTAATATTTATTTATCTATCAAACAATTAAGATTATCATCATTATCATCATTTGATATACTTATTGTACTTGTCGTTTTGCAATTTCTTAGAATTAACTTTTCTTTGGATGGCATTTGATCTTTAAGCGGTCGTGATTTTGTTTCCGGAAGAAATATCACGAATGCTATAGCATCGATAGAAAGTAACACGATGAGAACTATATATGGTAATGATTGCTCAATTTCACCCTAAAATTTCAATCATTATTAAATTATTTCAATTATTTGATAAAGAAAGATATTTAAGCTGTTTATTACAAATCATTATATTTAGCATGTATATGAAAAGTCTGTTTTAATTTCATTTATGCAATTATTACAAATTAACATTATCATTCATTCTTTAAAAAAATTAAAAATTAGCAAAAGTTAAATGCTATTGCTACCGTAATGCAAATAATTTTTGCTTGCAATCAATCTAATCTTAATTCTACTATCGAATTCCAAATTACGGTATAAAATTAACAATAGCAATACTGTAAATTATTGAGAAATCGAATTATAAATATGTGCTGACAAAAAAATTAAAAAATTTTATAGCGCAAAAGAAGATAGCATAAAATGAATGAATTAACTAAGAATTTGGAATAATACATACCAAATAAATTAGTTGTGGCGCAAGAATACAACCGATTCGATTCCATGTTGCGACATTAGCGCCAGCTAAATTACGAATAACTGTTGGGAAAACTTCAGAACAGGAAAGTATATTAACGATGAATAACATTGAAATTGTGCCCATAGCAGTTAGAGTTAATATTCGAATAAGTCCTTTGAAATGCAAAGTAAGATCTAAAAAATACAATTTTCATTTTATTTAAATTAACACTTTTACAGAAAAAATTTGGTTGAGCAAAAGGAAAGAAGTGATGAAAATAATTTTTAATGAAATATAATAAAAATCAATTATCCGATATTTGCTATCAACTTAAATTTATTTATTAAATGTTAAAATGTGTGCCAAATTCATGAGCTCCTTTTGCATGTAGAATTGATGATATGAATTATTATGTGTTATGCATCACATGATTTTGCTTTTTAATAAATTATATACCATATATAATAAAATAAAAATACATTCTTGGAAGTGTTTTTATTTTATTGCAATAATAATTTCACATTTAAGATTTTGTTTAATAAAAAATCAACATTTCATAAATTTTTTCTTTGTTAATTTCTACAAATAAGGCTAACTTGTTTAAAACAGTTGTATATGAGCTTAAATTTAGCTTATATGTATAAAAAATGCCATCTCTATTTAAGTAATTGAAAGAAAAATTCAAATAATTTATTTAGTTTGTTAATTAATTCTAAAAGTATTTTGACTAATTGAGAAAATATGATAGTATTGCCTACCAGTCTTAATTAGTACTACAATTAATGCAATACTTAGAATAAAAATAATAATTGACATTGTATGTATAAATTTCCGGCCAACGAAGGTGAAGGCATGGTCAACAGTTGCTAGCATGATATTCAGGATGTACCGGAATGCTCCAAGTATTGATGTATTCATAAATAATGATCCGGAGACCTTTTCCAGATTAAACAATAAACCATAAAAAGCAATGGCATTAGTGAAGCTGAAAAAATTTTCTCTTTTTTAAACAATTGAATTAAAACGATCAAAAATATTAAAATAAGACTTCAATTTATAATTTTTGTTACAAATAAAATAAGACAAAATTCCGTTTAATTTGATATTTTTAATGGTAACGATTTAAAATTTTATTGATTATTTTAAAAAAGTGATTGATTATTTTGAAAAAGTGAGAAATATTACTAATATCTATTCCAATCTTTCAATTTTTACATTACCAGCTAAAAGCGAGAACAGTGCTGTAACGAAATAATTTCCACGAATAAAATAAATGATAAAAATAGTATCGTTTATGTTGTAATAACTCACGACTAGCCTGAAAAAAAAAAGACGAGACAAATTAAAATCAATTCCTCAAACTGCTAGCAATAAAAAAATATGAGATATTTTAAACATCAAATTAAAATATCAAATTAAATTTAAAAATAAAAAAAATCAATTTACATAAAACAAAAAAGTGATGGTGCTGGCAATAAAAAAAAATCAATTTACATAAAAAAATTAATGTGAGCAAATAATAAAGATTGTAATTTTCCATTCTAAATTACCACTAATTTAAGATGGAGTTTTTTAAAAAAATATATGTAAATTTTAATTTATGAAATTATTGTAAGATACCGTATGATTATTTTTAAGCGCATTCATAACTTCTTCCGCCTGACAGTATTGCTTTTTCTCAGTACGCTGTCCCCAAGTATTCATTGCTATTATTGTTTCTTTCGTTTCATTTAATCGACCTTTTTGCATTAGCCATCGTGGACTTTCAT